CAACCCTCCTGAAAAATCTCCTTTTCATCAGAGGACTGTGGTGTTCTCATTCTACCTAACCCAGCAGTCTGAAACTGAACATTTAGCCCAGTGTTTCTCAACCTTGGCGACTTTAAGTCCTGGGGACTTCAACTCCCAGAATTCCCCAGCCATCTGTGCTGGCTGGGGGATTCTGGGAGTTGAAGTCCCCAGGACTTAAAGTCGCCAAGGTTGAGAAACACTGATCTAGCCTATTCAAAAGTTCTCATCATCTCCCCACCCTTATCTTCCTCCCAGTTTTTTTATGTCTCCTTGGATTTATTTTTAAAATGGGAAGCATAAATTGCTGGACTATATCAGGCTGCTGATAGAGTTGTCTTGGTTTGTATGGAGGCCTGCTGTGGCCTCCTGGATTGAGTAGATGCCTCCCTATTTTTCCAGCCAGTCAATGTCTCGTTGGTCATTAACAAGGAGCCTATACTCTGTCAGATAGAAATGCATGATATCCAAGCAAAACCCAGTTATGGTGAAGCATTCACCTACTGAACGTATTGGGTTAGCTGCCCCTAGAACTCCACTGGCTGGCAGAGAGGGACTCAGAGGAAGAATCTAGAACAGATCTAGCTCTATAATGGACAGTGAGACACACTGATCATAGGCCCCATGCATTCTGAATGCAAAGCAGTTGGGATGGAACCAAGAAGAAAAATTGAGATTAGGTTGAGGGATTATATTAAAATTCAAAATTAAGGTAACAGAAACCGATACCCTGGTGGACTACAGGAAGTCCTTGAGTTATGACCACAATGGAACCCAAAATGTATGTTACTAAGCGGAAAAATTGTTAAGTGAGTTTTGCTGCATTTTACAACTTTTCTTGTCACATTTGTTAAGGGAACCATTACTGTTGTTAAATTAGTAACCTGGTTGTTAAGTGAATCTGGTTTCCACACTAATTTTGCTTGTCAGAAGGTTGCAAAAAGGGGATCACATGACACTGGGACACTGCAACCCTCATAAATGAGAGTCAGTTGTCAAGCATCCGAATGTAAACCATGGGGATGCTACAACTGTTGTAAGCCTGAAACATGGCTTCATTGTAGCTGTCATTGTAACTTTGAGCGGTCACTAAGTGAACTGTTGTAGGTCAAGAACTATCTGTACGTACATAAACTTCTAGTTTCATGCCTCTTTCCCTTCTAGTCTGTTCTTGCCTAAACACCGAGGACAACTTCGTAGGAAGCGCGTCAAAGACGCAGGGGTGGAGGGCGGGGGAAAGGACTTGCGGAAAGGGCACCCCCCCCCAAGGCTTCCTCCTTGGAGAAAGGAGGAGAGGCTCCGGGGGTGTCAGGAGACCCGCTCTAACCGCAACTTCGGACAGACGGGCAGCTCCGAGACTCGCTCCGCTGCGGAAGATCTGACATCGGCGTGTAGGTCATTGGGTGACCCAGAGACTTGCGCCTGGAGGGTTCGATCCTAAGATGGCCGAAAAGTCCTTCCTCCGCTGAGTTCCCTCGGAATCAGCCTCCCTGAAATCAATCGGAGGCGTTTCCCAGCAGAGCTGGAGCGGTGGGCTTCGCTCCCATTGAAGGGCGATCGAAGCAGGGAGGCTGGGGCTCTCGGCTTTTGCTACTCGGCTCTGCCTTCTAAGCAGCCACTAGGCATCAGCATCAGCATCAGCATCAGCATCAGCATCAGAAGGGCGAAAGGGGAGCCTGGGGAAGCTGGTTGCAAAAGCCCCCCACTCCTTTTCTGGAAGAGGGAAAGGGAATGGAAAGAGAATGAAAGAGAATTCTAACCATGGGCTGTCAAGACTCACGAATGCGACATAACATCATAACTACGCATGGTGGACTTGCAAGGCCGGTGCAACGTGTAACGAACGTGTAACACTGGTACAATGGGACTGGGTGTTCCTTAACATGATTCATTGGGTTCGGGAATTTCTGTCTTCACTGTGAGTTGTATTGTGTTGAAGGGTGTGTGTGCACTGAGGGAGCTCATCTCATTGTACATATGCTGTGCACTGACAAATAAACAGTTCTAATGGGGACAGCCCTTTTCCCCTTCAAGGCATGGCCAGGATTCGATTTAGCTCGCCGGGTGGATCCAGGGGGGTTTGTTGCTTAGCCCAATCGTGCTTCAAGACATCAGAGCTTATAGCAGTGGTTCCCAACCTTTTTTGGCCATGCCCCACCTAAGCATATTTAAAACCCTGATCCACCCCCCCCCATGACATATAATTCTTACTTTACTCAAAAAGTGAACTCTAGTCACGCGGAGGAAGCCTAAAACTTGGTTTAAACAAGGATCAAATTGCCCCCATTAAAAATCAAATTGCTCCCCACCCCGTGGGGCCCACGTTGGGAACCCCTGGCTTATAGAAAGATGTGAATCCTGTCTAAAAGTAGAGCCCGTTTCCTTTAACAAGCAGCCTCCGACAGCTTCCCTCCCTCCCGCCCTGATCCCCCCCACCGCACACCTACAGCTGCCAAAAGAGCGATAAGGCAACCCAACAATGATTAAGCCCCGTCTGTCTTCTATTGCTTCGAGGAGGGGTCTCTTTCAAACGACGGGCACCCCGAAGAAGAACCCGTGGAGATCGGGACTTGCCAAGGGGAGGGGAGGGGAGATAAAGAGATAGAGATAGAGATAGAGATAGAGATAGAGATAGAGATAGAGATAGAGAGAGAGAGAGAGAGAGAG